GTGGGGCGTGGGGGGTGGGGTGTGGGGGGTGGGGTTGGTCGGCCCTCTCAAGCGCAGGTCGGCCCTCTCCAAGCCGCAGGTACAAGGGGAAAGGGGGTGTGGGGTGGGGGGTGGTCGGCCCTCTCCAAGCCGCAGGTACGAGGGAAAGGGAGGGTGGGGGTGAAAGCCGCAGGTGTGGGGGTGTGGGGGGTGGGGTGGGAGGTTGGGTGAGGGTTGGGGGAGGGTGGGGTGAGGGGTGGGGTGTGTGGGAGTGTTGGGTGAACTGTGTGTGTGTTGGTTTGGGGGAGGGGTGGGTGGGGGGTAATGGGGGTAGGGGGGTGGGTGGGTGTTTGTGTGTTGGGGAGGGGTTTGGGGTGTTTGTGTATGAGTGTGTGTGTTGTGTGTGTGGTGTGTGTGTGTGTGTGTGTGTGTGTGTGTGTGTGTGTGTGTGTGTGCGTGCGCGTCTGTGTGTGTATACAAACACATATGTGTATGTGTGTATGCATATAATATGTGTGTGTGTGTGTGTGTGTGTGTGTGTGTGTGTGTGTGTGTGTTGTGTGTGTGTGTGTGTGTGTGTGTGTGTGTGTGTGTATATGTATATATATATATATATATATACATATATATATATATAATATATATATATATATATATATACGAATGGCCCATACACCCTGCCCTTAACCCGCAGGTGTGGTACGAGGCAGCTCAACAGGTGTTCTTCTCGGTTGGCGCTGGCTTCGGCGTCCATCTGTCTTACGCCTCTTACAACAACTTCAACAACAACTGTTACCGCGACTGCCTCATCACCAGTCTCGTCAACGCATTCACGAGCTTCTACTCCGGACTCGTCATTTTCACGTATCTTGGCTACATGGCCTTCAAGCAGAAGACAGACATCGGGACAGTGGCCACGGACGGTTAGTCAGCTGGCGCCACGTCTGCCATAATATTTCATTGACTTATCTATATCGTACATGTTTTATTTTCTTGATATGTGCAATAACTACTTGCTTTGCTATGTTCCTCTATATCGTAGATGTTATATTTTCTTGATATATTCAATAACTACTTGCCTTGTTATAATCTTCTCTGTCGTAGGTGTTGTTTTCTTGATATAACTACCTGCCTTGTTATATTCTTCTCTATCGTAAATATTATATTTCATTAAGGTGGCAATCATCCGCAAATGTTTTATATCAGAATGGTATAGTAGTTATATTTTCTTGATATATGCGATAACTACCTGCCTTGTTATATTCTTCTCTGTCGTAAATATTGAATTTTATCAAGGTGGCAATCTTCTGCAAATGTTTTGTATTAGAATAGTATGCAACTAAAAAGTTTCTGAATACAGGTACTATTGTATCTCTTTCCATCATTAAATATTACATTTGAACATCACATGCCATAAAAAAGGCTTCTTTCTACCTCGCTTTATCCCTACCACTGATAAATCATACATAATCTGATTACAAGAACCAAAAGGAGTAATTACCACAATTGCTTCTCGTTTTGCTGTCGTAAACACTCCATCTTATAACATGTACTCCACTACTGTACCCTAAGACCACCCCTTTGCCTTGCAGGTCCCTAAATTATACATAATAATACCACAATGGCTTGTCGTTTTTGCTCGTAAACACTACATATAACATGGACTCCACTCCTTCCTAGACCAACACCCTTTCCTTTGCAGGTCCCTAAATTATAATAACAATTACTTACCACAATATCGTAAATACTACATATAACATGAACTCCACTCCTGTACCCTGAGACCAACCCCCTTTCCCTTGCAGTACCATAAATTATACATAAAAATACCTATCACAATGGCTTATCGTAAACACTCCATCTGGTCACATAGATTCCACTACTATACCCTGAAACCAACCCCCTTTTGTCTTACAGATCCTTAAATCATACATAATAATACCACAAGGCTTCGTCGTTTTTATCGTAAACACTCCATCTGATAACATGAAACACTCCTGTACCCTGAGACCAACCCCTTTTGTCTTACAGGTCCCTAAATTATACATAATAATACTTAACACTATGGCTTGTCGTTTTGCTATCGTAAATACTACATAAACACTCCAACTATTAACATGAACACTCCTGTACCCTGAGACCAACCTCTTTCCCTTTTGCAGGTCCCGGTCTGGTGTTCCAGGTCTACCCCGAGGCCGTGGCGACGCTCCCTGGCTCGCAGTTCTGGTCGTGTCTCTTCTTCCTTATGCTGATCTCCCTCGGTCTCGACTCTGGGGTGAGGCGTCGAGGATAAATTTATGATAATAATATATTACTACTACTAATTAATAATATAATACTACTACTAATAATAATAATGATAATAATAACTAATACTACTAATACTAATGATAATAATAATATAATAATACAATAATAATGATAATAACTACTACTACTACTACTACTAAATGATAATAATAACTACTACTAATAATAATAATGATAATAACTACTACTACTACTACTAAATGATAATAATAACTACTACTACTAATAATAATAATGATAATAATAATTACTACTAATAATAATAATAATGATAATAATAACTACTACTAGTAATAATAACGATAATAATAACTACTACTAATAATAATGATGATAATAACTACTACTACTAATAATAATAACGATAATAACTACTACCACTAATAATAATAAGGATAGTAATGATAATAAAATAATAACAATGTCAATAAACCCAACACCGGTAACAATAATAACAACACTAAATAGCAACAACCAAAACAATAACATTATCACTAACAATACCAATACCAATCACGGCGATTTGCGTGAATTGTTACCTTCCTTGGGGCGGTATTCAAGCCAGGTCATCGAATTTTCTTTTGACAGATTTAAGAACTGTCCTTAAAGAAAGTCTGTCCAAATTCGTCTGTGATTTCGTCTAAATATTTAACGATTTTTGTCTATGAGTCTCACTGTTGTCACAAGTTAACACTTAACTACCTTATATTTACATTTTAGACCCCTGTCATAATAATTTAATGTAATAATGAATCTCAATGGTATAATGACTATAAAATTACACAACTAATATCTAGATTTGTTATGATCGCGTCAGCTGAGAAGGCGCGCGCCGCCATTTGCATTTATAAACGAGAAAACTGGAGTAAATAAGGAGAAAACGCCCAATTAATGTTTGGACAATGAGTGAAAAATGTCAGGAAAGTTTTCCATATCATATGGAGTCATTTTCAACAACTCATTGAATACTCTAGCTGCTCTCTTTTGCTTTCTAGGTAGCTCTACGAATACTCTTGCAGATCCATGAATACTCTAACTAGCTCTAAATACTCTCAGGCAAGCTCTACGAATACTCTTACAGCTCCATTAACACTCTAGCTAGCTCTACAAATACTCTTACCTACTCTACGAATACTCTTACAGCTCCATTAACACTCAAGGTAGCTCTGCGAAACTCTACCTGCTCCATAAATACTCTCAAGCAAGCTCTACAAATACTCTTACCTACTACTCTACGAATACTCTTACCTGCTACACGAATACTCTCAAGCAAGCTCTATAAATACTCTTACAGCTCCATTAACACTCTAACTAGCTTTACAATTACTCTTACCTACTCTACGAATACTCTTACAGCTCCATCAACACTCGAACTAACTCTAAAAATATCTCCAACTCCACGAATACTCCTACACCTCCATTAACTAACTCTTAAAATACTCTCCAACTCCACGAATACTCTCTAGCAAGCTCTACGAATACCCTTACACCACCATCAACACTCTAACTAACTCTAAAATACTCTCCAACTCCACGAATACTCTCAAGCAAGCTCTACAAATACTCTTACCTACTACTCTACGAATACTCTCAAGCAAGCTCTACGAATACTCTTACCTGCTCTACAAATACTCTAGCAAGCTCTGTAAATACTCTTACAGCTCCATCAACACTCTAACTCTAAAATACTCTCCAACTCCACGAATACCTTCTAGCTGCAACTACGAATACCCTTACACCTCCATCAACACTCTAACTAGCTTTACAATTACTCTTACCTACTCTGCGAATACTCTTACCTACTCTACGAATACTCTCACAGCTCCATCAACACTCTAACTAACTCTTAAAATACTTTCCAAACTCCACGAATACTCTCTAGCAAGCTCTACGAATACCCTTACACCTCCATCAACACTCTAACTCTTAAAATACTCCCCAACTCCACGAATACTCTTACCTATTCTACGAATACTCTCACAGCTCCATCAACACTCTAACTAACTCTTAAAATACTCTCCAACTCCACGAATACTCTTACCTATTCTACGAATACTCTCACAGCTCCATCAACACTCTATCTAACTCGTAAAATACTCTCCAACTCCACGAAGACTCTCACACCTCCATTAACTCTTAAAATACTCTCCAACTCCACGAATACCTTCTATCTGCAACTGTCCTCCCCAGATGGGCGGGTTGGAGTGCGTGATCACCGGAATGATGGACGAACTGCGCCTAACCTTCGGATGGAAGACCATAAGGAGAGAGTTCTTCACCGCCTTGGTCGTCACGTCGTCCTTCCTCGTGTCTATTGCTAATTTCTGTCAGGAGGAGGATGGGTGGGTGGGTAGGGAGGGAGGGAGGGAGGGAGGGGAGGAGGAGGAGGTGGGAGGGGGGTGGGGAGGGGAGGGGGAGGGGGTGGGGTGAGGGTGGGGGAGGGAGGGGGAGAGAGGGGTGGAGAGAGAGGCAAAGAGAGGGAGGAGGGAGGGAAAGGGAAAGGGAAAGGGAAAGGAAAGGGAAAAAGAGAGAGAGAGAGAGTCGATTTGACTTGGGTGTTTGGGTGTTTTGATAATATATACAAAACATATACTTGAATAAACATAGGAAGAGTGAGAGAATAAAGATATATACACATAAGCAGAGAGAGAGAGAGAGAGAGAGAGAGAGAGAGAGAGAGAGAGAGAGAGAGAGAGAGAGAGAAGAGAGAGAGAGAGAGAGAGAGAGAGAGAAAATGAGAACAGAAAGAAAGAGAAAAAGAAAAACAGAGAGAGATAAAAGAACATACACAAATAAACGAAAATAAAAAAGAGAGACCGAGAGAGAGCAGAGAGAGAAACCACAAAAGACAGGTAGATAGTCCCTAACAACCCAACCCTCAACTAAGCCAAGCCATTTTCTCCAGGGCGGAATGTACGTGTTTCACTGGCTGGACACGTATGCTGCTGGAATATCGCTTCTATGCTCAGCCCTATTCGAGGCCGTTGCTGTTTCCTGGTTTTATGGTAAGAACCTTTTGATGTTATTGTATTTTTTCCTCATTTATTACCTCTTTCACATAGGGACTGATTTGGTTTTGCGATAAAATAAATAAAAATAAGATCAGTCACTCGAATATAAAAACCTATCATCAACTCAGCTCCCACTTTTACCACCCACAGGACTGCGACGGTTTAGTGCAGACATCCAACACATGCTCGGGTTTCGCTCCATGCTCTACTGGCGAGTCTGCTGGAAGTTCGTGTCTCCTCTCTTCATCCTTATCACGGTGAGGGGTGTGTGTGTGGAGGGGTTTGGGGGGAGGGGGGAGGAGGAGTGGATTGTGGATGGGGATGTGGAGGCGCTTGGGGCGGGGGAGGTGAATGTGGGGGATGTGGATGTGGAGGGGCTTGGCGGGAAGAGTGGATGTGGAGGGGCTTGGGTTTGGGGGGTGAAGGTGGATGTGGAGAGGCTTGGGTGGGAAGAGTGGATGTGCAGGGTCTTGGAAGGAGGGGAATGGATGTGGAGGGGCTTGGGGTGGGAGAAGAGTGTGGATGTGGAGGGTCTTGGAGGGAGGAGGTGAATGTGGAGGGGCTTGGGTTGAGGAAGAGTGGCTTGGAGGGAGGGAGTAATGGATGTGGAGGGAGGGGAGTGGATATGGAGGGGGAGGTGAATGCGGGAGAGGCTTGGGGTGGGAGAAAGTGGATTTGGAGGGAGGGGAGTGGATGTGAAGGAGGTGGATATGTAAGACCTCGTGGAGAAGTAAATATATGGAGGTTGGGGGGGAGACGTGCAAGGGGTTGGGGCGTGGGGGTTGGGAAGAGCACGTGGAAGCAGGTTATAGTGAAACAGAGTGAGATAGAGTGAAAACGGGACAGGAATGCAAGTGCTCTCAGATTCTCCATGTAACTTGTTGATAAATAACAACATAGGGATTCAGAGATCCAAGTTTACTTATTCTTTTATCTTTAACCATTCCAATATGCACTGTATATACATACATGTGTATATTTATGCTTTATCCATCCGTGTGTGTGTGTGTGTGTGTGTGTGTTGTGTGTGTGTGTGTGTGTGTGTGTGTGTGTGTGTGTGTGTGTGTGTGTGTGTGTGTGTGTGTGTGTGTGTGTGTGTGTGTGTGTGTGTGTGTGTGTGTGTGTGTGTGTGTGTGAGTGGTGAGTGGGTAAGTGAGTGAGTGGGTAGTGAGTGTGAGTGAGTGAGTAATTAAGTGAGTTAGTGAGTAATTGAGTGAGTGAGTGAGTAATTAAATGAGTGAGTGAGTGAGTTTACAACGTCAAGTCAAATGGAGGAGTTTCTACACTCCCTAACCTACCACAAATAATCTAAACCCCTTTAAACTCTCCCGTGAATCCCACCCTCCTCAATACCCATCACAAACGGACTCTCTCTTATTACAGATCGTCATCGGACTTCAATCACAAGCCTCCAGCAAACTCGAGTACCACGGCCCAATACACTACACTTACCCTGCCTGGTCTGAGTCGGTAGGCTGGCTCATCACCTCGACCTCGATGTGTATGATTCCCCTGTGGATGATCATTACCATCTGTCGCCAACCAGGGAATCTCCGGCAGGTTAGTTTCCATTTCTGAATTCGCGGAGTTTGGGGGTCTTACTTTTGGGGGGTTTCCTTATGCTGGATTTAGAGTAATTAGTCTTATGCTCTATAATTCAGAAGGGGGTTAAGTACCTACTCTTATGCTCTATAGATCAAGGGGAGATTAAGTACCTACTTATGCTCTATAAATCAAGAGGGAGATTATAGTACCTACACTTATGCTCTATAAGTCAACAGGGAGATTAAAGTACCTACACTTATGCTCTATTAATCAAAAGGGAGATTAAAGTACCAACACATGCTCTATAAATCAAAATTTAGATCATAGTACCTACTATTATGCTCTACTCTCTCAAAATGGAGATTAAAGTACTATTCTTATGCTCTATAAATCAAAATTTAGATCATAGTACCTACTATTATGCTCTACTCTAAATCAAAAGGGAGGTTAAAGTATCTACTCTTATGCTCTACAAATCAAAAGTGAAGATTAAAACTAGCAACACAACTATTCTGGAATACCATATACACTGAACTCTAATATACTCATGTTTCAGAAACTGTTGCTGAGCATCACGCCGGAAGCTGAACACCATAAAATCCTGGAGACAGGGGAAACTCCTAGTTTCGACTGGAAGCACTGGTTACACGTCTGAGTTCGCTGTCTCGCCTTTACTCACGTGTGACTACCAATAACACTTTCACTTACAAACACAATCCACACTTAGAAACACACGGTGGTATTACACACAGGAACTCCAACACACGCGCACACGTTAAAATGCACTGAAACACAAACATGACGATGCTAATTTTATTATTTTTTTCGGGGATCTACTCATATGCTAATATTCCCCGAAAAAGCTCTGATCACGACTTGGATATCTAGGAAACAATTAAACATTCCAAAATATACGTATCCCAACCTAATATGCACGAATGTGTGTATGAATTCTGTCTTACCGCGAAGAAACAAGCGGTTTCCATTATATTAGTATCAGGTGGCCAAATCTGCCAAATATACATAATATGAGGTACAAACAGTAACTATTTTCATCACACTTAAGATACACAGGGTTACATTTGCTTCAAAACACTTCTGTGAAAGTAGCAGAACACATTAAAAAAAATTCTCATAGTTACTGGCTTCCTTCTTCCAAAAAAATATATGAACTTGAAGACCAGCCACACGCACAAAAAAAGAAAAAAAAAGCATTTAACTTTATTACCACAAAGATATTTTCAAGCGACTCCAAGACACAAAATAACAATAACGTGAAAATCGTAATGTATCCATGTAACACAGTCCCACTGACTTGGGATCGACAGGCTTGTTATTTGAGTTGCATTTGCTGTAACGAATAAAGCTTCTTGTAAATAATTTTATAAAGTAGTGCTTGATCAGCTCCAGGACGTGTAATGAAAAGTGGTGTGAGCGTACTTAACCTTGCGTTTTCATTTCACACCCACCGGTCATCAGTTAGGTCACTTGTCATGTTATCTTTATAAAGTCTTTCGTCACGTTATCCTTACAGCGTCCTTACGATGCTGGGTTACTAAGCCTACCCCCTCAAATAACCTTGTCACTGTCATTTCAGGGGAGGCCTTTTCAAGAGGAAAGAAACTTCATATATTCGCTATGGTAGAGAAATCGAGTGATTTTTCTACTTGCTGCAGATAGAAGTATGGCTTATAATCCTTCATTCTTATTTTCTTACTATTGGTGACTTAGTTGACGATCATCTACCTCAATAGTATTATCCTTAATTACCTGAAACTTTTTTTAAAAATGCCGTTAGGAATCTCTTACCTTACCAGAGCAGACGACACGCAAACCCGCACGCGTCTCTCTGCGTGCCACGTACGCGCAGCCCATTGGTCGGCCGTGTCGCCAAACTAACCAATCAGCGCGCGCCATCAGGTGTATGTGATCAGGCAACCAGCACTGGGACGGTCCGAGGGGGAGAGACATCTGGTGGCTGAACAGCTTGGTTGTTTCATTGTTCATAGAGATATTATCTTTTATTTATAAGTTTGTGACATATCCGCTTGATAATTCAGATATGTGTAGTGTCTTGAATTTGCTTAACTGTACGTATCCTTGTCACTCAGTATGTCACTATACTGCAGTTTTCAAATATCTTCATGGAATGTTTTATTTGTGTGTTTTATTGCATATATCATTATCCACCCATCCTGATATTTTAATTTCATACCATTTCATGAATTTACTCTAATCTGATTTACATCTAATTGTAATTACATCTGATTGTACACAAATTTACTGTCCTGTGTTGACAGTGATGTACACCTTAATTGGTTTAAGTCTAATGTTGTACCTTTTTTCGTACTTAGTTTGAAACAAAACGAAAAAAAAGACCTAACTTACTAACACTTTGAACTATGACTATATGACCTCATAGACTGTCTACATACCAGAGTTCTATTTTGGCTGCCAGTTCACCTCTCTATCAAGGCAAATTTCCCCTGTTACCCCTGTTCTCGTCATAGTAACTACTGCCATTTTAACCTTTCTTTTTTATGAATAAAAGAAGCTACAGCCCATCCTTAAATTTAGTTACGTCATCAGTGTAATCATGCCTGGCAATAGTTTATCAAGAAAACTTGAGGAATCAAATTAAACATATCATCATAAAATTGCTAAGTAAATAAACCTGCATGAGAACGATCTCTTTGGTGACATCCAGTATTTTGATATGTAACGCACTTGAATTGCACAGTTTATGAAAGTAGAATTCTTTGGTAGTTTTTCTTTCCAAGTGAGAAATATAATACACAAACATTTTATATACAGCTTCTGTCTCCCGCGATTGAACCATTGCTTGCACAAACTAGGTTAGGTGAAGTGTGTGTACACAGACAAATAACGTCTGGTTTCTAAAACTGCGTAGGTAATATCATTCAAGAATCCTGATCAAATGGAAATTAAGGTACATATCGAGCTAATTCAAAAAAGAGGCAGCTGGATTGCAAGTAGTGTAGAATTTGTTTCACTGAAAGTCTTGGAGACACGAGGGTGTGTGGCCGTTAGGTGTGAGAGAGGTTCAAATATGCTTCTCGCTCTCTCACAACTGGCGGACATGACCTCGTCTCGACTTACTGACAATTTTGTAGTTCATTGAAAGAATGGATTAACTCTATGGTATGTATATATTTCGCGTATAATGGGTATGGATATAATCGACATTTATTTTGATAAAGCATTAGAGATTCGGAGGACATTTATCATTCCCAGTGTTGTATATGTTTGATGTTGTTGTTAAAATATGTGATTTAAGTGTTGTTACGATGGATAAAGACTAGTGTTCCTATATTACTGATGTTAGAGAAATCTTTATGAATAGAGCTGTTATTACCCCCGAATTATTCTGTAAGGTTACATGTACTTCTCAGTTACTTACTGGACGATTGTTGATAGTTGTAGACATAACGTATTTTTTAGTATTTTTGTTGTGTACATGCAGGCGTGTCATTTTGACCCAGTGGCTGTAAAATATGCAACTTTCGTCAGCCTGTCACCATCTTACGTACCGTTCTGACTGGCTGAGAGAAAAGAAAAATCACCAGCCCTTTTATCTCCGTTCCTAGAAGGAGACGAATTTCAAATGTGCTTCCAAGTCTACAGGTGGACTGCAGCACCTTACTGTCAGAGTTTAGTACTTATACATGTGCAGATAAGCCCGAAGTAACACTACTCTACTGTCCAAATGTGCATTTTTTCTCTCCTGAAAAGACGCATAACGTAGGGGAACACTTTGTATTATAGATATGTTTCATTCTGTCGGTACAAAAGCTTTATTAGTTTCCAGTTTTGTGAATTCCTCCCAAGAAAATTAATCATCCTCTTTTTCTTTTTTAAAGATTTCCATATTCAGTCAAGCGTTGCAAAAGTACCGTATACAAATTCGACTTTTTCTTTATACCTAGTCTAATAATGTCTTTAGTTTTTCCAATTAATCAGAAATAGTTAGGCGTGAGCCATTGTTCACCCGAAAAAAGTGATTGCATTGTTTCTTATATATGTACTTCGGGAGCAAAAGAAAAGATCTTACACAATCATTGTTAAGTAAAAGGAAAAAAAAGTTTATTTCGTGTGTTGTGAAGAAAAATAAAAATTCTTCGTGCTCTTACAATTGTGGATTTATGTGGTGAGAAGGTGTCCCATGTGTAGAGAATCTGTGTTCAACGTGTTCTATTAAACCTGTAAAACGTAGATGAAGGTTGGTATCTCGCTGTAAAAAACAAAAAAACATATCAAGGAGTCCGGCCAGTTTTGTGTCCCCAACGGCCTCGTTTGCTGAACCTAACATAGAGCTGTTTAGTCTTAGAAATAAATGAAATTTACAACTGTGTTTTTAGTTAACTTGTTCTTAGGAACTCTCATGACTACAGTTTCTGGCAAGCTGCTTCTGCGACTAATGGACCTGCTTTCAAGAACTAGAGCTGCAAATATAGGTATGTTGTACATATATTTAACGTTATACAGGTATTCTATGTCAGCAGTAAACGTGTAGTGTAACGGTGCGGATACAACCCTTGTATAACGCCAGTTCATATGTATGTACACCTGGAATAGTACTTAGTTTCTCACCTCTGTACATATGAATACTAGGATATTTGTCTTTTGTATCTATCATTTCTCTTGGAATAATCATGGTAATCCATGTTGAAGTATGTCCAAAAAATGCAGTACAACTTACCGCTCGAAGAAATATTGAATTGAAGAGAAGATATAATGGATTTAGTTGTTTTGTATGCTATTGTTTCATGTATCGGAATGTCGGAATAAAGCGTAAATAACGTGACTTTTTGATGATTTGCCTCAACGGTGTCTGCTGACTCAGGCTCTCTGCCAGTCTTTATAGCCCATGTATAAAACACGATTGGTTGTGATGTGGTGTGTGTGTGTGTGTGTGTGTTGTGTGTGTGTGTGTGTGTGTGTGTGGTGTGTGGTGGGTGTGTGGTGTGTGTGTGTAGGTGTGTGTGTTGCACTTGCTTTTATATATATGCAGTGTGTATCCAATGTATATAGTATAATAATATATATAGATATAATTTATATATATAAATATTATATATATATATATATATATAATATATATATATATATATATATATAAACACATACCATGTAGCATGCATACATATATATATACTGTTTATTAAGCGCATGATACAAGTTGCAGGGTCCTATGGCTATACTAACGCGTAACTGGGTTACTCAGCTTTGTATCTTTTTATGTTTGTGACAATATAGAAGTATAATCAAATTACCTTGAGGCCTCAATATGCATAATCTAGATGAAATTAAGCTAGAATTGTTAATTAAAATGTTCAAATCATAAAAATTATCTTCAGTGAGTGCCGATTGAGTTTTGTTGTCCCAGTTTAACCCTACTACCGTACGACAAGGGAGCTAAGAGATGCAATTGTTTTAAATACGGCAACTGTACCTAATCCCACATCTCAATGAGAAAAACTGAACTTAGGCTTGGTATCCTAGATTTTTTCTTTCTTTTTCTCTTTTTTTTTTATATATGATGGCTGGCAACTCCGGGGTTTGTTAAGAGCGGAACATACATTTTTATTTCTGAAAAAAAAAAATTGGCAATTCACATCGGATTCTGGAGCACGC